AGTACACTGTGATTTCTCTACTGGTGAAACTTGCATCCGAGCTCAACCTGAAAACATCCCAGTCAAGAATGGGTACATAAATTCCAAGGTCAAGAAACATGTCTGGCTTGGAGAAACTATCAATGGTGGTACCCAGGTGAGGGATCCTACGAACATTCCTTTTCCTGCTAAATAATATTATTAGGATTAGTTTGCTTTTTAATTACCTGCATTTTAGTCCTTTACCAAAAATAGGCTTATTTTAAAAACTTGATCTTTTCTCATCTATCTTGGATTGCTCGTACTGGCAGAGCTACACAATTCAAAGTTGTTCTGCAAATTTTACTCAGCTGATACTCACTAGCAACACTGACTAATGTCATTTACTATGAACGAGAACTAGCCACTATAGAGTCCTAAACAAAATACATATGTATTTTCAGAACAATGAGTTTTTCTGAATTTATAATCAAACCTTTTCATCAACTTTTTTGAGTGCCAATTGGTAGGAATTACAGAAAATGAAAGAGGTTGGAATCTCTAGCTCCTTGTTCTCTTATTCTAAAGAAGAAACAGACACATAAAGGCTTCCCTGAAACAGATACCTTTGTGAAATTACCTTCCCTCGGTGTAGTAGTTTTATGTTCCTTCTAGGTAACTAATGCTTTAAAGACAAGTGAATTGAGTTTCCCCTTAAAAGTGCCTTTTTTCCCAAGGCCTTGATCTGACTTCATTATGTCTCCTTACAGTACACTTTTTTGTCATTTAATTTGACTCTTAGCGTCCGAGTCCGTCTCCACTTAACTGGAATCCCCATCTTATTCTCTGCAGTTTGAATACAATGTTGAAGGAGTAACCACCAAGGAAATGGCTACCCAGCTGGCCTTCATGCGGCTGCTGGCCAACCATGCCTCTCAGAACATTACCTACCACTGCAAGAACAGCATTGCATACATGGATGAAGAGACTGGCAACCTGAAAAAGGCTGTCATTCTGCAAGGCTCCAACGATGTGGAACTTGTTGCCGAGGGCAACAGCAGGTTCACATACAATGTTCTTGTGGATGGCTGTTCTGTAAGTAATAGCAAAATATGGGAATAGTATTTTGGGGGGGAGTAGAGGTAGGAAAATTTCTAGCTTAGACCAATAAATGAACAGATGGATGAAAGACCTAACTGACTTATAAAATTCAGATGGTAGATCCAGATTATTCTTATATATAAGAATATATATATATATGACATATGCTATGTCCACATATTAGTTGCTTTTCTTTTAACATGAGTTTCTTAAATGAAGATGTATACCCATAACTTAAAATTACCTGAAGTTAAAAAGGCCCAGGATATAATTTAGTTACACGTATTTTATTTTACTTATTAGCATTGCTTCCTTTTCCTTTTTCTTTTAGCTTTGTCTACAATATGTTGTAAATTAAGGAATAATTAAGATTCGCAAATAGCAATTCTGCATACCCACCAGACTCCCTGTCCCCCCACCCACCCACACACACACTTTCTGAAAATGATAACGTAAAAATTGATCACTTGTAATATGTATTGAAATTTTTTTTCCCTAAATTAGACTTGCAAGAAACATTTCCCCCAGAGACACCCCAATGCTGCAGTTTCAAAAATGAATGTGTTTATGTCAGATACATGTCTTCAGAGTGACACATAGCAAAAGTTTCTTATAATACATAAGAGGTACAGGTGATGTAAGATTCGGAAATAGTGCTGCTTTTATATGTATATTTTTCTTTTCTTTTTTAAACAGAAAAAGACAAATGATTGGAGCAAGACAGTCATTGAATACAAAACAAATAAGCCATCTCGCCTCCCTATTCTTGATATTGCACCTTTGGACATCGGTGGTGCTGACCAAGAATTCAGGTTGGAAGTTGGCCCAGTCTGTTTCAAATAAATGAACTCAACCTAAATTAAAAAAAAAGGAATCTGAAAAAACTTTCTCTCTTTGCCATTTCTTTTTCTTCTTTTTTAACTGAAAGCTGAATCCTTCCATTTCTTCTGCACATCTACTTGCTTAAATTGTGGGCAAAAGAGGAGAAGGAGTGATCAGAGCATTGTGCAATATGATTTAATTAAATTCCCTCTCCTTTTCCCCCTCCCCAAAAGATTTGGACTTTTTTTCAACACTCGTACACCTGTTGTGGAAAATGTCAACCTTTGTAAGAAAACCAAAATAAAAATTGAAAAATAAAATAAAAACCATGAACATTTGCACCACTTGTGGCTTTTGAATATCTTCCACAGAGGGAAGTTTAAAACCCAAACTTCCAAACTACCTCAAAACACTTTCCTGTGAGTGTGATCCATACCATTAGGTGCTGACCTAGACAGAGAGGAGCTGAGGTACTTGTTTTTTTTTTTTTCAAAATACAAAGGTGCTAATTAATAGTATTTCTCAGATACTTGAAGAATTTGATGGTGCTGGAAGCTGAGAAGACATACTCCTCTGTATTGAGTTGTATTGTGTATTGTTTTCATTTGACTTAACATCAAGATTTTAAATCTTATACCCAACTGAAAGTATGCACGTCATCATTTGCCCAACATTGTCCTCTTTTTTAAATTTAGCATTTGTTCCTTGCCAGTCTCATTTTCATCCTCTCCCATGGTTTCAAAGAAGCCTTGTTTCTTGGACAAGCAGAAAAATTTAATTGTACCTATTTTGTATATGTGAGATGTTTAAATAAATTGTGAAAAAAATGAAATAAAGCATGTTTGGTTTTCCAAAACAAAACATTGAGTAGAATTCCTTGCTTCAATGCTCTTTGCAATACAAATAAGTATTATAACATCTCTACCAGTCATTAGACCGCATGTTTCTCGTTAGGTGGACACTGCAAAAAGAGTAATTTGGGATAGTAGAGAAAGAGCAGCGAACAAGGACCCAGAGACCTGAGCTCTTTTAGTGGGTCTGCTCCTTATGACTGACTGACCTTGGCACTTCACCTTTCTGAGTTTCAGCTCCATATATATAATATGAAGAAAATTTCTTCTCTCAGCTATCAGGCATTTGTCCTACTCAAAATACATAATACTTACGCCACGTGGAACTGTTGACCCAAGTTTACTCTAAGCAGAGACGCTTTTGGTTTATTATCCACTGTGCATTTTGAAACTGGCTGAAAGTTGGTCTATGCACAATTAATACTATTAACTAAAACAGTTTCAAATATTCAGCAAAAATGCCATACACTTAAATCTGATGCAACTGAGCACAATGCCTGTTAAGAGGTAATGTGTGTGCTGTCAATCAGCATAGACAGTTGTGGATAATAGTACCGTGAACACCTACCTGCCAAATCAAGTTCATTTTCCTCCCCTGCACCTTTCAATGACATCTTTAATACACTTAAACATAGTAATGTGTCAAGTAAAATGTTAAGATTCATTTAGAGCTTATTTCCTGTTGCAGAACATAATTGTGATTGTAATATTTGCCTCCTGTTATAAGTCATCTCAAGATTCAATTAGCTTTAAAACGCAAAAGACTGAACATGATGAAAACCTAACATTAACTCTAAAAGTTAGCAAGGTCTACTAACCAAATGGTAACTTTTAATTATGGTTCTCCCACCTCCTGAATCAGGACACTGAGATGCTTATTAAAACGCAATCCTCATTCACCAAATTAAGATTTAGTGACAAATCAGTATTTTGAAGCTCTCTGAAAATTATGATGTGCACTAATTGGGAAGCCATTGGATAAGGTAATTTCCACAATCTTTTGACTTGCTATAACTGGAAAAAATAAATCACTACACGTGGCCAAATGATATAAAAAAAAGACTAAGCCCCTGTGATCAGAATATTAGCCCTCCCTACAAATTAATGATTGAAATGGCCAGGGCAAACTTATGTGAAAACCAGTTAGAAATCTCTGGATTAAATATATCCTATGCCCCCAGACTTGAAGTATAAGAAACAGCCAAAAGACTGATATAAAGAAGAGAGAAAGAGAAGAAAAGGAATACCAGTGATATTTATTGACTATCAACTATGAGCCAAACACTCTGCTAGATGGTAATAATAATGACCTTTGTCAAACTGAATCCAAGTTGGCAGCTTTCCTAAGCCACCAGACACTTAATAATCACTTAGTTATCAGCCTGAGACCATAAGTAAATAGTTAAATAAATAATGGTATATTTTATACATAACAATGAGAAAGTAAATTTTGGCATCACCAATAAATAACAATGAGAAATTAACGATGTAGCTAACAAAGAGTAATTGCAAAATAGTAATATAAATTTTGCTATTCCAATAACATTTATGAGGTTGATTAAACAAAAGGAATATGTTAAAATGGAGTGTTACAAGCTTAATAACATTTGAGTACACTGTCATTAGAAATTAAACATACATATTAAAAAGTGCTGAATAGGAATGACTTTTATGCTTCGATTTTCCAAATTTGCTGCAATGTTTGCATTATTTTTATTCTTAACAATAACTTTACTCTTTAAATTTTATGAAAAGAAATAAGCAGGCAACAAGTGAAAACAATACTGGTTAAGGAGTAGCTGAACCTCCCGCCCACCTGTTTTCTGAAAGAGAAGGAAAAGCCTAGCTTAAGAGTAATCACCCCACGTCTCGGTCACTCCGGGGGACTCTGGGGAAAGGTGTCCAAAGCAGTACCAGGCAGCAGCGTCCTCTGGGATCTTGCAGTTCAGTTGTGGAGAAGGAATAAAATAATGTGTGAACACAGTTTTAAACAAAGTGTCCTCTGAGGATAGCAGAAGACACTATTAATTAATGAGAGGGAATCTCAGGAAATTAACCTCAGTCTCGTGCAGTAGCAGTGACGTTTAGATTGAGCTGGCCAGCTCTTGTCAGAGATCTCGTTCCAAAAGTCTTCTCTGGAAGCCACGTATTAGGACAGTCTGGTACTTACCAAGCCCGGAGTTCCGCTGAGTTCCCAGGGCTTGGGCAAGGTGCTGACCCTGGCACATGCAACCCCCTCTTTAGAGGCTAATTCCCAGGCCCAAAGGACCCTCCTTTTCACATTTCCTGACTCTTGGTCGTGTGAAGGTCAGCGTCTCTCACTTGGGTACATGAAAGAGAGAAGGAGCAGGTAGCCAAGATGAGGAGAGGAGATATTAATCAAGTCTGGTAAAGAGGGTCATTTAAAATTCTAAAATCAATACAGCTAATGCACTGGCAAAGAGCACAGACACCTGAGCAATGCTGAACACATTTATTATCTTTAATGCCAAAAGACTTTTTTATGCTATTCCACTTAATATCACTGAAAAGGAAGTTCAGAAATTGGATTATATATAAGAAAAGTTGGGGATGTCCTTTTGGGTCAGAACAACAATCCATCTAGATGAGTACTTTGTCTTTGACAGTGGCACCAGGGGAAATTTGGGAGGAGAGGTTGGCACTTCCCACAAAACCAGCCTCAAAACTCCCACTTAATAACCCACCGTAAATCTTTTTTTGTACACAGATGTATCTAAACCCTTCCAGAGCCCTCTATCTCATTTGAAATATGTTGGTATCTCAGTACCAACAAGAGAAAGCTAATGCTGAATTGTTAGCCCAGCGTCCTGGCCTTCTGATCAAGTAGATAAAATATGTTTTCTATCTCTGTGGCTGAATCAGCCAGGGGTTCAACAACAGCTCAGTATCCTGGGGGAGCACCAGTAACTGCAGCTAGGGGGCCACAAATAGCCCATAATGATTGACTTCTCCCCGTGGTTCAGTAAAACAAGGACATAATTTGTGGTCAGCAGCCAAGGTTATGAGCAGCAGCTCCACTACTGACTAGCCAAGGACTCTTGGGAAAGTCTCTTAGTTGTCTGAGATTTGGTTAACATACCTGCTCTCAGAGTTTTCCTTAGCATTGCTGCGCTATCTCCTAGAACCAGAGCCAGATCCTCTGGAGAGGACCAAGTGGAGCAGATGTGAAAGTGATTAGTGAAGTGTGGGCAAAGGTCACTAGTCATGATGAGGTTCAAAATCTTCCATCACTGGCCCTCCAATTTTGGAAGGAAAGAGTCTAGAATTTAAGTTTAATTAACACCACTCTCTAAATGGGTAGTCTACCAATCTTTGAGCCATGCTTCCCTATCAGTAAAAATGTGAGCTCCTACAACTGACTGTATACACACACTTATATATAAATGCTAAATGTATGCTAAGGTACCAATAATAAATGCAATATAAAACCTACCCACAGGGGAAAAGAACTTCAAAAGACAGAAAATAAATACAAATGGAAAATTCCATATTCCAGTAGATCATTATGCACTGGGAAACAGCCACCCTCCCCAGCCTCCCCACCAACACACCCATTTTAGAAACTATTGCTCTAATCAAAGATTCTGATGGGCTTGGGGGTTGGTAGAACATCAATGAACTTCTGACATAACATGTTACATTTTGTGTGTATGTGCATTTTTCTTAGAGAAAGCTAAACAACATTTTTTAGATACTCTAAGGGATCCATGACCAAAAAGACATGTTATGAAACACTGCACAAAAATATATATATATAACTCACTTCATTACTCCTGGGCTTTCCTGAACTATGACTTTCATATCTCATCTTGGGCCTCTTCCACAGAGCATGCTGCTTTTCTTATCCTAAGACCTAAAAGAACCAACCAACAATGACAAGAAGTCAAAATAAGAGATTTGTCTTTCATTCCTCTATTTCCTTGCCATCGACCTTTTGTCCTGAGCTTCAACAAGGTTTGGCAGATGCTTTATGATCCAGCCTTGTGCTTTGCAACATCAAAATGCACCTGTCCACAAGACCTTTTCAAATAAGAAGAAATAAACTCAGTATTGGAGATGGATGAGTTAATTCTTTTAGATCAAATAAGCATGTTTGCCACATACATGTGAGTGTGTGTGTGTGTGTGTGTATGTGTGTAAAAATTGATGTCAACCTAAAAGGGGTTGCAATTCTAGCACCATAAAAGGTTGTAAGACAGTAATTGGAGCATGTCCCTCAGAGACCCTTGAATCACCTCATAGAACCAATTGTCTCCTCCTCATCTGGCTTCTCCCAAGCAGAGCTATTATTCTGAGCCCAGGTATAAGTGTAATTTGGTCAAGAATTAACAATCATAATGGATTCTAGAAAACTATCCTTAAAATTACAATTTACTTCATATTTTTAAAAATTCATAAACAAAATGCTCTTTACCACTAAAGTGACTATTTTTCCTAGTGGAGTACTGCTCTTGGTGTCCAATTACTTAATTAACCATAAACCACATGAGGGGAAAAAAACCAGAAAAAAAATTTTTAATGGAATCTGTTAATGATAGGCAGGATAAGAACATCTACTCTTAAACCACTGTGCTGAGTGGATGGCCTTTCTCTCCCTACGGGGTGTCACTTCAAGTTCACTGCTCCCCCTGCTGACTGGATAATAGAACACCCCAGTCTTTTAACACTGCCACATGCACAGAGAATGAAAACTCAAATTTCAGAGAAGATAATAGAACAGCTTCTTGTGCTTATTTCCTGTCTGCCCCAGAAACACAGCTTTCTCTCCAGCTTCCACAGCAGTCTACCTTCAGTCCTCAATGCTCCCTTTTTTTCCCTTACCCTCTGTAACCTGTCCTTAATATCTCTCCCACGGAGCTAGTAAATGGAAGTCACAAGGAGGCAAACAGAAGTTCAAATGAAACTTACAGCCTTTTGTGTAGAGCTGTCCAGTGCTACAAATGTCACCCCGAATGCAATGAATAACTATTCAGGGTTTAAGCACGGGGTTTGGGGAATTATATGAGACCATGAAAAGAGGAGGTGACAAGATGAATAGGGGCTTAGGAAGCAGAGCTATTTAAATTTGAACCCTGTCTCCACCATTTCCTCACCTATACCCTAAGGGAAATGATGACGCCACCCACAGGCTTGTTAAGATCACAAACAGGCCTGCACAGCAACTTGTAAGGTTGGTGAAGAGTAGTCATTGTTGTCATTATCCCCAGAGTTGGCTCTTCCCTAACAGTCTTCACCTCCATCACTGGCAAAAGTAACCACATTTCCACAAGTCCTATTTCTTTGACAACACTGGTGTAAAATGATAGAACAGCTATAATTCAATTATACTTCAAATTCTCCCATCACAAAGAGATTCTCCTAACACAAGTAAACTTCCAAGCTCTTACAATTTTGCTAAGTCTTTCTCTGTAGTCCGTTAAAAAAAATAAATAAGCCCAGCTTTTATTAATAGTTTGAAAATCTTTTTAAATTTTTACAAAAGAAAACCAACAATTCCACCTTAAAAGTAGAAAAAGGTAGCAATTCTGACAGAAAAGACAAATTTGATTTCAACTGGTCTGTGCCTTATGCCATTAAGTACATTCAATTCTGGAGAGGAAGCTTTCTGAGCTTAGAAAAGGTCGTTTGCTTACTTGGAAGCCAGTTCTTCTACACAAATAGACTATAACTCGTACATGTGAATTAGCCAAATTTCTGCCACTTAATTTTCACGATTTTCTGAAACTTTGTCTCTGGCAGTGGAAATCCTAACTCAAGAGTTATCAGCACAAGAAATGATTATAATTATTAAATTCGTGTCCTCAGGGAAATTTCATGGCCTATGTGAATTTACTCAAGGGCTTTAAACATCATTAAATCACCTATTATTGCCAATGCTCTGAATGTCTATATGAATAATATTATAAGTGGATCCACTTCAAAGAAATATAGAAGAAGCTTTGATTATAGTTATTTTCAACATGGTTTTTCTATCTGATTATACGTCTCCTTTCATTTGTAGTACTGAAATCTAAAATAATTTTTAAAACCTTATCAATGTAACTAAATTAAAGTTTCCATCTACTACTTTGCTCATCATGATAAGATCTATTCCTAATCAAAAAAATAAAAAAGGACCTTCCTCAGATAACATCTAGAAAATTGCCCATTTAAGAATTTATCTGGGTTATTCATAATGAATATTTATTTTTAGATATTACTGGGCATGCTCTTAAAATTAGTGAACTTATGGTCAATTGGAAGCTCCACATCTTTTTTAGCCTTTTTTCAACTAAAACATCACAATAAGTACTCACCTTGCCGCCGTAAATTATAAAGCAGTCTTGCTTTTCTTCTCTCAAGCTTGGGAGGGCTATCTATCAAACAGAGTACAAAGTCCACTAAATCCTTTGAACTTTTGAAGAGAGAAAAACAAATCAATGCCAAAAATGATGTGCCTTCTCACCAATACACAAATTAAACTGTGTATTTTGTAAGATTTATAGGGTACCTGGGCTTCTTTTTATTATCACTTTTGCTAGGTATTTGTCAAGTGAGTCCAACTCAGTAACAGATTGATATTTGGGGGACATCGCTAGTCTCCATTCTGTATTGGGAAAAAAAAAAACATACAGATGGTAAAGGCATCCTATCCCACTCATCTTATGATTTAATTGGCTGCAGAGTTTTTTAAAACTCCCTTGGTGATTATAATATGCTGCTAGTCTTGAAAAAATTGTGCTAGACTAAATCTACAAGGTTCTGAAACCCACCTTTAAAATCACTGGTAAGTTTAGAAATATGTACATACATACATACATGACTTTTTCTGGAAAGACAATGTACATTACTTCTCAAATTTTTTTCAGATCCCATTTAATAGTTAGCTAACCAGAATTATTGGGGATGAAGCCAAGATAACTACATTTTCACTGAATACACTGAGGTTATTCTCAGGTGCTCTCATCAGAGTTTGGGAACCACTTGTTTATTGCTATCATATTCTTGGAGGAGAAGAGCCTCTCCCCCAAAATGTTTAGGACCACAGCTCTGAAATCATGGGCTCTTTAAGCTGCTTTAAATGGGAACATGTAATGGCTCATTGAACACGTGAGCAATTAATTTGAGAACAGCAGTATTATAAATGTGATTACTTATTGCAAACCCAATTAATCCAGTCAGGAGGAATGTTAATTACAAAGGAGTATGGAAATTAGCATGAGTGCATGACTAAATGCCTAAATTCTGACCTATTATATTGTCTGTCTGGTAATTTACTTTAAAAATACTTCCCAAAGAGATCTCACATATATGTTCACGTTGGCAGTAAAGTAATATTAGTTCACTCTCCAGGACTGATTAGGTAACTTTGGGAATCCCTAATTAGGGCAATCTGCCGCTTGAGAGGTATCTGCTATGGTATTCTAGTAGCATATTAAAAACTACACCAGAGGCTGTATTAACTAACATAAAAATTGATAAAATTAATTTTTCATTGTTGAAATAATGTTCTTAAAGATCGATGACTAGCTAATAAATATTTCATGTTAACAAAATTTGACCTAAGGCTTGCTCTGCATGTCACATACTCACTGCGTGAAGCAAGACTGACAAGAAAAGACATTTAGTCCAACCTACCTCGAACCACCAGAGGCGATATCTACTTACTCAAAGCTCTTGAATGGCCAAATTGGCTTAAAATCAGTTCACAAAATGACTCCAGAAAGCTGAGAAATGGCAAAGGATGGCCAAAAATTATACACAAAGCGAAACTATTTAATTAAAAAATGAAATAATACTCAAAACAATAATTGTCTTCCCCCTATGAGCAATGGACTATCAATCAAAACAAATGCAGATCTACTAGAAAGCAACTGGGAAGGCTTCCAGTGCTCCCAAGAAACTCTCTCTCCTTCCTTGAGAACAGTCAAGATTTAGTAGGTCTGTGCTTTTGTGGCTCTGCCCTCTTGAGCATAACTGAAAAGACAAAGGCAGAGTCTTGGCCAAGCCAGTCCACTGACTCCTGTCCTCTGAGAATGTAAGACTTGGAACGGAGAATGACAGAGAGGGAACCACGGAAGTCAAGGCGTACCGGTGATAGCACTCCAGAGATGGCTGTGAACTTCGGCTGATGAGGCCCTAGGTTTCTGGTTGTTCCTTGAGCTCTGAGATAGTGCAGCATCCTTCCACTAGCTTTCTATTTTACTTAACCTAGAGAAAGATGGTTTCCATTACATGAAACAAAAACAGATTTCAACTAATACATTTAGTAAACAGGATATGACAACAACAAAAACAAAACGAAAAACAGGAATACAAAACAGTTTTAAAGTTAGTAACACTTAGACAGAGTAGAAATAAGAAACCAAAATTTGACTGGCTTAAAAAACTACCCAGAGAAAAGGCATTGCTGGTAGACAATTCTCCGTGGCTCTTTGACATTTCTGCAAAATGTCTTGCAAGCAAAGGCACAGATGGCCTTTGTTCTGGACTATTTTTTTCAAGAATGTTTATAGAGTGAGAGTGAACAGCCAGGGAAGAGAGTGTCCCCCTCCAGAATGGAAGGTGGGTGACAGTCCAGTATCATAAAGATAATTTTTCCCCACAGGGCAAGTGACAGGCAGATTTGTTTACAATTCATTGTGGAAAATGAGGATTCCCATACTTGATGTTCCTTAATTGTGACACATTCACTATGGTTGCTCTGCATCATGCCCCCCCATTCTCCGCCCACTCACCCCCCACAGGGACTTGGGGAAAGGGGATTTGAAGCAAACATCAAGCTTTCTGTTGCTCGCTCTAAGTAATAAAGTCCTTTGTCTCTGACCCAGAAGTCACGTGTCTTCTGCCAGCATCTATTAAACTGTGGCAGGCTAACATCTTCACTTTGCAGAGAAAATTTCTGGCCCTTCACAGTTCTTGACAAACATTTCCAAGAAGAATTCATATCAGAATGAAGCTGCATCACTTCTGTGTTCCTGTCTTTTAAGTTGCCTAGCAACTAGTTGGTCACCATTGATCTGACAATCTGCCGTAATGAAAGACCACACTATGTAGAAAAGTGTGATTGAACTGTGTGTTTCTAGACGACAGGGATTGTCTGCGTCATCTCTGTATCTTTTTCAACACCTAATCCACTGCCTAATATAGACTATACGCTCAATAACTTTATGTTGAACAAGCTGTTGAGCTGAAGAATTAATTTTAAAAAATGACTGCAGAGATATAGAGTTTGGTATGTAACTAAGATATTTTAAACCTGTATCATCCCCTCACAATCATTCTGTTTCTTCAGATTCACTTACTGGCAAATAATAGAGATCTTCTCAGTGACAGAGGCATAGAAAAATATGAGTGGGAACGATAAACAACCTCGCTAAAACCAGAGCTACAATGTGGCTCTTTATTTAAGGTGACTTTAGAGATTTCAGGGGCAGGAACTGTGACACTTGCCCCTACAGCTCCACCACCAATCTGGTACATCCATATTCTGTATGTTTGTCCTTTCAGATCTGCTATTAATTGACAATCTCTTTTTTTACCCACTATCCTAATTCCTTAGGGAGAGATTTCAGTCGGTACCCTTCATAAGTCCCTTGGCAGCCTATTAACTGATGACCTTTGAGTAGACAGCCCATCAACGCCATCATTAAAGTCACGTGGTGTAACACGTGGCCACCTAAGCTTGGAAGTTATGCAGGGCAATTTTTATTTATTTATTTATTTTTTCCAGTTTTTTTGCAGGGCAATTTTTAAAGGGGATGAGGGTGTGAAAAGTCATTAAGTAACAGCTCTATTTGAATGTCTGCTGACCGTATCTCCTATATACCCCCTTCCTACCATGTTTTTCTCCTAAGAAATATTTCTTATTTCATGTGGTTTGAGTATTTGGTCTTCAGATAAGGCTATATTACGAAGTATTTAAGTTAATTTTTTCTAAAAGAAAAGTTTGCACCAAAAATATTTGGACTGGGGCGGTGAGGGGAGGGAGGAACAAAGAAGATAAAAAAAAGACAAAAGATCATTACACATACAAAACACTCAACTCCTCCAGTAATGAAAGAAATAGACAGTAAAATTTTGTCTATAGTTATGCTATAGAAATAATAATGTTTTAGCCAAAAGATCACTTTCATATAGTTGTCATTTTTTATAATTGGTACGAAATTTCTGGAAAGCAATTTATCAGGATGTAGCAAAAGCTTTAAAGATGTTTATACTTTGGTTGTTTTTTCACCCCTAGGAGTCTAAGAATTCTTGATTTTTCTAAAATTTTGTGAACAGAGATCATATGAAGAGTTTCCCATAAAACTGTGAGATCCTGGTTTTCCTTGCACTGCTTGTCAGAACAACACATAGATATCTTCCCATGCAGCTGTCCAAAGCAACCCAAGCCTGGTGGGAGAGCTATGCCAGTCTGAAGGACGAGCACATGAATCACAGAAGTCTTCTAACTTTGAGAAATGCCATGGCTATTTGCAGCATGAAGTCAACAGAAAAAAATCCCGAGCACTGCAGGGCTCAAAAAAGCTACAGCAAATACACTCTTTGAACTGCCCTACATGACTCAGTGCCAGTCCAGTCCTCTGAACAGGAGGTTTCATGGCAAGACATCTACAGAAAATGCCAAAAGGTTGTATTAAAAATTCACGTTTTATTGCTTCCTCTTCCACTGAAGACAATCACCCAATGGTTATGGTGAAGTCATGTTAACCTCCTTCCTTTAGCTTATCACTATGAAAATATGAAAAACACCTGAAGGAAAGACACTATAACAGCAGAAAGTAAATATGCAGAAGTAATGGCTAACCCTCTCATCATATCTTGGACACAACAGTTGTCACAGCAATGTTTATAGCAAAACATTGGAAATTAACCAAATGTCTAATAATAGAGAATTGGTTAAAATAGATTTGGCACATTCAGAGGATAGATTGCAATCAGTTAAAATGTTTCTTGAATGATACTTCATAATATGAGAAAAAGGTACGAAAATAAACGATAGATTACAATGAAATTTGATCTCCCATAGGATATAGGGCTCAAAATCATCTCATGATGAAAAAAAAATCTCATATAGTTAACATTACTCTTAATAATTTCCAGGTTGGACACCTTAATACTATAGCTTCAACAATTTTTCTTTTAAGTATTAGAATAGATAATTGCTTGTGTGATTGAGCAACAAAGGAATGAGCACAGCTTTAGACCATGTTGTGGGAAAAAGATATTTTTATGATTAGAATCATGGTATATCTAGGTGCACTTACTGTGAAAGATAAGAAACTGAGACTAATGAGAACATATCAATTACTATGCCCTGTCTCCTCTATCCAGGATGTACGGCACACTCACGAACAAAAAGAAGGGGGTATTTAAAAATCTTATTTAAATAGTTGTATGGAGAGCAAAATTCACAGAGCAAAAAAAAATACATATTAGTGATTATCTTTATATATCATGTGTAAGTACAAGTTTATTTTTAAATTTTCATTTTATACAGATATGCCTAAAAATTCAGAAAGGATATATGGAAAATTATATTAGCTATCATCTAATGAGATGATGGGTATTGTTAGGGTTTCTACTTTTCTGGATTATTTTTTAAAAATTTAAGTGAGCATGTATTACTTTCACTATTAGTTTAAAAACAGTGATTATATTTAAATGGCACCCACAAAACAGATGTGTATTGATTTATAAATGCTTAACAATATATAGCCTTAGGTCTCCCATTTCTATGTCAAAAGGACAGGCACTTATTAAAACTACTGGTAAATATGACAGAAATATAAGATTACTCCTATATGAAGGAAAATTTAATCAGCAGAAATCTATTAGTACACCTCGGTAAAGCAGTGCTATTAGGGTCTATTGAAGAGGACATAGAAACAGCTTCCTTATATTGAACTGGACATTAAAAGATACTTTTCAAAAGAAAAGGATTATATAAATATACATAGAATCTATAATAAATTACCTTAAGAAGTGCCTCCTGAGCTCCCATGAATTAAAACCCTTTATGTGCTTCACCAAAATATCATTAAAAGACCTATTACAGCAATACTTACTCTGCTTCATTCATTCATAAAAGATGCATAGATGCATTCACGTAATAAAGGAAATTTCTCACTGAAACACATATATCACTCTAGTAAGTCTGTTTTAGCAATAGAAAAAAATTAATGTCTCATATGAGAAGGATTTAAAAGACAGGTCAGTTAGAATAGTTCTTTGATTACGTAAAATTACTGGTGGTTGATCCATTGTGTCAGATGTGAAATGAGATTAAACTGTAAGAGTAAGTTTTAAATTCTCAGCATTAAACTGAATTAATAAATTGAGCAAAGACATGGTTCAAGTAGGATTGAAAGGTTCTGCTAAAATCAGACTGTTTAGCTCCATTAGCAACACAGCTACAAAGAAAGAACATCTTATCAGAAAACAGTGTAGGCTGTGGAAAATTAATAGACAGTGCTAGACCCAATCTTGGTGTAGAATTACATGGAAGGGATTAGGAAGTGAGGGGAAGGTAATTAAGTAGAAAGAACAGCCGGAAAGAACTGAAAAGCGAAAGATCAGATGGTCTGAGGTTGAGCCCTTCACCATCTGTTGGCAATCATCAAAATTTATTTGATCTTATTGTGTATTTACTTTGCAAAAGGGAAAAAATAAAACCTCATTCTAATGAATGAAGAGGTGAGATGCAAGGCAAATGCCCATTATAACAGAGTTCATTATTGTAGCGAGTAAAGTCATCACCACTGCAACATAACAAATACAATTAATACAATCTAATTGTCCCATCTCATCTCATCTAATTGTCCCTGACATCAATTTCATATAAAGGCTCTTAGGTTTTACTGACCCTTTGTGATTTAGTTGGAGGGCTTTGTCTATGATTTTATTCAGTGTTTATTGTATGTCCATACATTTTGCTCCTGTAAAATTTCTGAGAGACTGCCTATGTCCATTAGGAAAATTTGTATCCTGCCACTTATGTTTCCCCTTCTAATCAACATCAGCACCTGTGATTTCAATATCAGTTAAATGTGTTACTAGCCACTCAGTTACACTAACCAGTTATACTCAAGTCTTTCCTTTCCTTTCCCTCTGGCCCCTTATTCA